CCCGACCCGCCTTTTACAAAAGATCACGCTGAATCAGTACCAGACCCGGTTAACATCGATAACTCCCGGTCAAAGTCATGCCCACGGGGATCCGCAACACTGTGTGGTAGCATCTGAGCTATGGCTCAACCACGCCCATAGCTGGTATCACTGATACATGACAGATCTTCGCTGTTCGAACCACGAATAGAATACATCTTCGTCCCGCCCAGAATAGTTCTTTCCTAAGATGACGTCTCGGACCAGGACTGGCTGAGACAGCCCGACCCGGCATCTCCGTTCTTGAAGCGATTCTGCTACACCCCCCCCGGGGGTCCTGTCTGGCCAGTGCATTTGAAGCACGCTGTTCGACAAAACTGGAAGGCTATGACAGCGCGGCTGCCTTGCCAAGTAGTTATCACCGACTGATCCAAGAGCTTCGGCTGACAGCCAGTAATTCGCCACAAGTAAGGCTGATTACGCATTATGGTCTCATGATGATCGTCGTCTGATGATGAACTAACCACATCCTCAGCTGGCTGGGTCATCGAATCCGGCATGGCTCTATGTGGGTTCCCGGGCTGATATGTGTGGGCCCGCACCTAAGAAGGCAGGGGACGAGCCGGCCGCGACCACGGACGACGACGGCGCGGCGCGCCCCTTATCTCGCTTGAACTTCACACAATACTCAACGGCGGAACATACAATGACCAATCAATCATGTCCAGTGACGGCGGCGGCAGCGAAAGAGTCGGCAAGGTAGAGTCCTAACAACTGTTTGGGGTTTACAATGGTCCACCGAAGCGGTCTCGAGATCCCTCGCTACGCCTGCGCGTACAGGGCCTTGACCTTCACATAGAGCGCCTTGTCCTCCGGTTTCTTGCCGCTGATGACCACGAAGCTCGTCAGGCCGAGAGCCGCCCTGGCCTTGCTGACACACTCCACCCACTTCTTCACCCCCGCATGCATTTTATTGCCCGCCGCGGGGTGTTTCTTCGACACGACCGTGCCGCGTTTGTTCATTATCTTGTCCTTCGTGAGGCCACTTATGGTCTTCATATTTGCCCCCATTCAGCACCTGGCTCTTGGCCCGCTTGCCCTTGGCGATGGGGCTCTGCTTCTGAGAGCAGCCCCAAGCTCACCCCTGTCCTTGGGAGGAGAAGTGCCTCAGCCCAGCACCGGTCTCAAACACTTCCTGGACTGTTCATCTGGATGTTGGCACTACCCTCACAAAAAGAGCCAGCCCAGGGCTCAACCACGATTTGTTCACATTGCCCCCTACTGCAACTCATCTTTCCCCTCAGATCTGCATCAGCCATATTACACATACTCATTCTCCGACTCCGACCCTCACAAATCTTAACGGTTTATACTCCAATTCTGCCAGCTAGACGGTCGAAACGGGTTCCATCCGGGAAGTCCCATCTTACCTATAACTACTCCGACGGGGGGCACATGATAACCGACAAACACGCATAGGAATGCGTGTAAGACGAAGAGCATGGAATGATGCACGAAACGCAAGCAGCCAACACGTAAGGATGGGAGGGGGAGACCCGAGAAAAGGCTCAATCGTGCTCTTGCCTCAGCGCCGCGCAGGAATGGTTCTAAAGTTCCGCTCCAGGCCGTGAGCGGGCCGCGTTCTCCCCGCCCGTCAAGCGGTCGGAAGCGGGAGCGCTGGCGAGACCCTTCCGTTCGCTAGGTGGCGACCCGTTCCAGCCACGATAACAAGACGTGCCACCATTGAGTCTTATCTGATGTCATGCGAGGGCAGGTGGGAATGGACGGAGCCCGTCTACTCTTACTCCTGCCCACACACCCATCACTAAAGTAGTCGCGCGCGGTAAAGTTCTAGCTAGCTTGGGCATCAGGGCATAGCGCGGAAGAGGAAACGTGCCATGATACCCCACAACGGCAAGGGATCGAATGCCATCGTTGGGACCTCTCGGGGCCTGCACAAAGGCTCTACGGCGTCTCCGGGAGAAGCCGTGGAACTACGCCTGCCAAGAAGGTCGAGAGCCCTGAATCCGTCAAACAACTATTGTGTGCCTCGGGGTGGGGATCAAGTTTGACGATCTGGTGAAAGTCCTCTTGGCGCACTCTTGCGACCTGAGAAGGGGAAGAGGCGAGGAGAAAGATGGAGGAAGAGGGAGTAGGAGAAGGAACACAAAGATACGAGCGGCTTGGGCACCTCAATTTGCAGACTGCGGACGCGGAAACTAGGCTCGCAGCGACCGCAAGGGAGACGCCAAGATTCTCGCCAACGCCCCAGGACGGCCCAAGATGGCCCCGGGCCGCCCAAGAGGATCCCAAAACCCCCCAAGAGCGCGCCAAGACGATCCCTACCGGGCCCCCGAAGTCTAAAACCATAGAAAGACTTCCAAGTTGCGCGAATCAGATTGGCATTCTCGCCTTTTCAAGCGCAAAGCCCTTGAGGTTCACTCCAGGGCCCACAAACGGCCAAACAGAAATGGTCTAAAAGGGATTCGTTAAAAGGAATGCCGTCACTAACTCCAACCAATGACTCTGTGCAACCTGCGAGGTGCAAACTCTACGATCCGTCCCATGGGTTGCATCCTGTACGGGGTGAATTCCAGGAAATCCCATTTTTTCCGAAGCGTTCGAGGACCCCGCAAGAACCCTAACAAGCAGCCTGTGCGGTTCAAGAGGGCCAAAAACAACTGCAGCACGTCCAAAGAAGGCCCCGAGCGGATTCCACAGCACCCCACAAGCAGTGCAACATATCGTCCTGCGCCTCTCCGTCCTCGCCGTCCTCGTCCTTCGTTTTCCTCCTCCAGGAGTGTCATTGGATTTCGTCGCCCTGGCCATGTGAGCCCAGACCGTAACTCCCCGTGAGCGTCGTCGCCGTGGTCATCATCATCACGCTCGTCGCAACTGAAATCGTCCATGGAGGCCCTGGCAAGCCCAACGATCAGGCCGACGTAAGCGTATGAACAGGATGCCGTTGATGTACGGATTTCGATGGGTAGGCCCACGCCACGATGTAGCAGGACCTGTCGTGTCTGTACACCAATGAAGCCCACATAGGACACCGGCACCATTCTGGCCAGGATGCGGCGCCGCGAAGCGCTGGAGACCCACACTTTCAACGACTGGCGAGTTTGGAGTACACGGGTGAGCTTGAGGCCGCTCACCTGCTTCATCGCGGCCTTCATGCCGGTCTTCGTTGCGGTATTCACCACGGTCTTCATTGGCAGAGCGAAGGCTCGCGAACGCGGCCGAGATGGGTGGGAGACTTCCATGCGGGATCGCGCGGGCCTCTGAGAGACGCCGATGGCTACAAGCTTCCTCGCGGTTTATCTCTTAGATGTCCTGTAGTACTGAGAAGGAAGATGAAGGGGAGGACGACGAGGATGGGGATGAGAAAGGGAAAGAGGGAGGGAGAGGAGAAGGGAAGGGGGCGATGGCAAGGGAGGGTGGAGGGATGAGTATGGGGGAGGAGAGGAGGACGGGGAGAGGGAGAAGAGGAGGAGAGGAGTAAGAGAGGGAAAAGGAGAGGGAAAGGATAGGGAGAGGAGGTGGAGAGGGGGAGAAGGGAGGGAGAGAGCAAGAGAGGGGAGGGAGAAGAAGGGGGAGGGGCGGAGGAGGAGAACGAGGACGGCGACGACGACGACGATGACGACGACGACAACGACGACGAAGACGACAACGACGACGAAGACGACGAAGACGACGACGACGACGACAACGACGACGACGACGACGACGACGGCGAGGTAGCGCACAAGGAGAGAGGAGAACGGGATACGGAGGAAGAGGGGAAAGGGGGGGCGAATGGGGAGGAGAAGTCAGAGGGAAGTGATGGTGAAAGAGGGGGGAGAGGTGAAAGCTGGCGAGAGGGACGGGGCGGAGTTGGAGGTGGAAGTGGGAGGCCAGACGCTGACTGAGGCACGGCGCGAGTCACGACGGCGAGCTCAGGCAGCAGCGCGACGCCCTCTCCAGAGGGCGGGAGGGCGGACAGGCAGGCAAGCCACTCAATTTCTCGAGAGGTTCAAGCCCGGATGCCCATGAGGTCGGAGGGGGGAGGAGGGAGGTGCGAGGCGGAGGCGACAGCGGAGGTGGAGGTGTCGAGGGTGGATGGAGGTGGGAAGGCGGGAGGTGGCAGGCGGGAGGCGGAAGGTGGAGCTGAAGCTGGAGCTGGAGCTGAAGCCAAGATGGAGCATGGAGGGGGTGTTGGAGAGGATGGCGGTTCAACGGGACGAAGGGAGGGCGACGGAACCTGCACGTATCCACTGCCCCAGGCCTTGCCCATCCTGGGCCCAGGAGCGGTGCGCACGCCCCCCCCTTGCCTCGGCCAGGGAGGCGCAGACACCCCTCCCCGGTCCAGAGTAGGCGCCCCGCCAGGGGGCGGCGCCCGACCGTGTGCAGGCCTCGCTGCCCGCTGAGAGGAGGGCGGAGCCCAGACCTCCGACGTATTGCTTTTGACACTGCGGGGCCCCTGGAGCTCTGGACCGCTTCCTGGTGGCCGGTTTTCCTTCAGGACTACGGTGTGGGCCTTGGAGAAGGACCCCGTAGAGGAGGAATCCAGGGCCTGGAGGCCAGGTGGAGCTCCCATCGTGGCTCGGCCCTGGATACCGCCGCCGCCCTCCTTGGAGCAGAAATCCTCCAGGGTCTTGCGCCTCCTGGGACTACTCCTCAGCAGACGCCTCCACCGTGATCCTTGAAAGGTCCTGGGGGGCCCTGCGCGGGAACCCCAGGCGCGGAAAGCCACAAGAAACCATCTGCCCTGATTGTTGCCCATGCGTTGCTCCCCATTGCTCTGCACAGCGCGGCGGCGCGGCGTGTAGAGGAGGAGAAGAAGATAGGGAGGGACTCATAAGGGGTGGAGACAATTCATGAGGGGGCAGGGGTGCATGAGTAAGACGAAATAGTGCAAGCTGTATATAGATATAATGTATACTAAATAGCATACAATACATAGCAAACATCATGTCATGTATGATACGTCCAGGAGGGCGGACCACGTGGCCGCCCAGGCCCCCTTCCGGCCCACCCGGCACCAGCGCGCTCTGGCCCGCCAGGCCGCTGGGCGCCGCGGCCGACAGCGCGCTGCGGAGGGCCGGCGCGCTCGCGGACAGCGCGCTCCTGCGCGGGGGAGCGGCGGTGGCCCCCGGAGGCCCGCGGAGCCCCACCTCCCGCCGCTGCGGCAGAAGGCAGGCGACGGGCGTTCCGCCACGCTCGGCCCAGCCCGGGGGCAGTCGAAGAGCGACTCGCAACGAGAGGCTGGCCCTCTGGAAGGGGCCCAGGACTCTTGGGCCCCTTATCGTGCAAACTCACCGCGTCGGACGTCTGGGGAAGGCGGCGACGGCCCTCGGCGGCCCTCGGAGGCCTCTGGCCAGCGCGCTCCAGCTGCGCAGGGCGGCGGGGGCGGCAGCTGGGCGGCGCGTGGACGCTGTCGGCAGACGGGTGGGCGATATGAGCTCGGGCGCGCGCTGGCATAGATTCCGAACGAGCGTTGCTCAATGAGGGACCGACAGCTAGGGGGGGGGCCAAGAAACGTGGACATGTTGTGCCACTCTTCGGCCCCAGAAGACCCCGTTGGGCCCCTAAGGTGCACCTTCCTCACCCCCCGACTTATCGCCCCCCTTTACGAGACGCCCGAATGGATCTGGGAACCATCAAACCCGGGCGACGCCAAAAAATCGTCGAGGCTGGTTGTTCCTTGTTTTCTGCCTCTTGAGGTCGTCTCTAGGCCCAAGGACCGATGAAAAACGACTCAACATAAAAAGCTGGCCCTGGAGAAAGGGTCACAATCAGGAGGCAGGGATGGGGAATGGGAGGAGGGAGGAGGGGGGAAGGAGTGCGACGCGGGGCGCTGTCTCTTCAAAACGAGGACCCAACACCACAGGATGGTTGGGAAACAGATGTGGAAAGCCAACAATTATTCCAACCAGAGGTCTGCCAGATGTTGTGAAATTCTAAGCGCGCGCACCTCCTCACCACTACCCCCATCAGCGCCATCGCAGCACCGCCGTCGTCATAGGCAATCGCCGCCATCGCCGCCATGTTCAGTAAAGCACCTGCATCACTGACATATGGAAATTATCATCGCCAGCGTCGTCACCAGCGTCGGCGCCGTCGTCGGCCTTGCTGTCGTGATCGTCATCATCGCCACCACCATCGCTAGAATTGTCATCGTTGCCACCGTTGCCAGCGTCATCATGATGCCGCGCCCGCCCGAATTGCCGACCCGCACCTAAGCACCCGCGTGCCAGCGTGGCCTCTGAGACGCGCTTGGACATTCCAGCCGGCGAGCGTCATCGCGGCCGCATCAACTGTGCCGCAAACCGGCTGGCCGATCTGCAGCCCATGATAAAGCACTCGCCCGAGGCAACGACCCGGGCCGAAGTGCCCACACGCCAGCGCGGCCTTCGAGACGCGCTGAGAAGTCTCCGTCGGTAACCGCCATCGTGGCTGCATCATTTACGCCCAACCGGCTGACCGATCTGAGCGGAAGCGGGCGCGCGCCACCGCGGCCGCGGAGATGTGCCAGCAGCAAAAGCAATTGCCGCAGCCGAACGGGTTTTGCGAAGAAGTTGAGTTCCACGCGCCCGTGCCCACATGAGCTGTGCCGATAAGTTGCAGGTAAGAGGGTAGGATGATTGCGCGAGCAGTGGTGTTGACAACTCATGAGTGGCAGAAATCATAAGCACAAGAGCAATTTCACATAGCTTGCACCACGCAGGTTGCACGACACTGCTTGCATCCCATAAGTTGCACGGCATTGGTTGCAACTCATTGGTTGCACAACGCACAGGCCACCACAGAGATTACACCGCAGATGCCACGCAGCGAGGGTGTGGCCACTCACTGCTTAGAACCCACGCTTTCGAGCATGCCGCCGTTTTGCTCTTCTCGGGCAGGTACTTTACATTAGCGCGTCGCGGCGGCGGCCCCGGCGCGGACAGCGTGTCACGCCGCTCTGCGGGGCGGGGAGGCTGGGGAAGGCTCTGGACGCCGACGCGCAGAAGCGTCGCGCCGAAGCGTGGTGGGCCAGAACCGGGGCGCGACACGCTGAGCAACCGGCCACAGCTGAGGGGCCTGTGATCCTTGACCCCCCCTGGGGGAACCCACTGCGCCGGCGCGGCGGCAGCCCAGAAGCCAGCCGGCTCCGCGAAGGGCCCTCGCCTGCACGGCACTCTTGGACGGCGCGGGCGCCCCAGGCCTCTGGCGCCCTGGGCCTCTGGCGCCAGAGAACGTTCTTCGCCACTTTCGGCACTCGGGGTCTGCTCAAGGGCCCCGCGGCGGCGGCGGTGCCGTCGCCTGTCGCTTCGGAGGGTCTTCGGGCGTCTCGTTGGTGTCTCCAGCCCGGATCTCCGACGCTGTGTGCGTGTGTGTGTGTGTTGTCGCCGCCTGAGCGTCTTTCATCGACTCTGGCCTCTGGGGCCCGTTTTCGGGCCACGGGGCCATCGAAAATGGACCTGGGTGGAAAAGCTGGCCCCTGGGAAGGGATCGAGAAGTCCGAGGGTGGGGGCACGCACTGAAAAGTTATCTTGGCGAAGGACCCACCCATATACAGCAGCTGTGAATACCGCAGTTGTGTCGCCTTCGGTGGAACTCCCTATGGGGCCACCGGGGCCGTCGGTGGAGCCCCTATGGGGCCACGAACCGAGTGAGGGGAGTGCTGAAATTGATGTGGAACCGCATGTGGCCGCACCTTCTGGGGCCTTCGGTAAAACTCCCAATGGGGCCGCGAAACATGTGAGGACAGGATTGGGCGGGAAAGCGCATGGAAATGTCGTCACTGGGGCCTTATGTGGAGCTAGCTCCCTATGAGGCCACCAACAGTATGAGGGGTGAATCGAAATACGCGGGGAATCGAATACGAACGTCTCCACTGGGGTCTTAGGAGGAAAAACAGATGGGGTCACGAAATGTGTGAGGGTTGCATCGAAGTTGACGGGGAACCGCAGGCGAACGCCGCCACTGGGGCCTTAATTGGAGTTCCCTATCCGGCCACGAAACGTGTGAGGGGTGCATCGAACTGGGCGGAGAACCACATGCGAACGCCGCCAATTAAGGCCTTATGTGGAGCGCCCAATGCGGCCACTAAACGCTTGAGGGGTGCATCGATACGGGCGGGGAACCGCATGCGATCGCCGCCACTTGGGCCTTAAGTGAAGCTCCTCATGGGGCATCGAAACGTGTGAGGAGGGTGCCGAGATTGACGGAGAACCGCATGCGAACGCCGCCACCGCCTTAGGAGGCCACGAAACGTGTGAAAGGTGTGCCGAAATCGAAAGGCGTAGGGCACAGACAGTGAGCTGATGATAACGATGAAGGCGTGCGGAAAGCAGCGGCAGAGGAGGGAGAAGGGGGAGAACGAGATGAGGAGAGGATACGCGGGGCGCTGCTGAATCAAAACCAAGACCCAACACCACAGGATGTTTGGGGAAATAAACGACTTCGAAGTAAAATCTGAGGCTTGGGGCAGCTCGCAAAGCCTCGACACGTGGCCCCTTCGGAGGCAGCCCAAGCTGGCCTCGACGGGCTGCTGCGGGCGCCACTGCGGGCGGCGCGGGGGTGTTGAGACCGCCCCAGACTTCCCCATTGGGCCTGTTGAGACCAGCGTGGACTGCGCCTGGGAACTCTCCGTGCGCAACCACGCGCCTGCCCAGCTCGCCTCACACGTGATTAATATGAGCCTTGAGGCCCCAAAGATGGGCCAGGGGAGGAGAGGTCCGAGCCAACGTTGCAGCGACGTTCGAATGTCCCTTACCTCGCCCAAGTCTGAAATGACTCTGGCAGGTCATATAGCATCCAATTCCATATCGAATGAATACGATATGGGGAGTGGATGGATCGGATAGGATAAGATCGATGTAATGATCTTTCCAGCACATAGCGAACACTAAGGTAAGTGTCCGGGCAAATAGGGCGCGCGTGCTTTGAGCCAAAAGGCAGCGGCGCGCAGGCGATACTCCCGATCCTCGATAACATCTCCGAAAGAGCTACCCTTAAAGTCGGGAGGGGAGGAGACGGAGAGTAAAGCCGCGCAGCCGCTAGGCTCTGGAAAGGCCGCGCGCACAACTGTTTGCAAGAAAACCAGTACGCGGAGTCTGGTCTACCACCAGACTGAACGGCGAGATTATTCGCCGGCGAGCTTCCTCGCAAAACTGTTCCACGCACACGCAGGATAGCCCCTTGGATATACAAGGGCTATCGGCCCGGCTAGAGGTAAGCCAAACAGGCTATTCCCCTCCGGGCAAAGGCAAAAGGGTATTAAGGCAAAGAGCCTGAACCAAACTGAACAGGCTCGCTGCCAAGCGTGAAAAGTATGGCTCGTTCCCGAGCAGATAAGAGGGCGCCTCCGTATTAGGCGCCCGTGCTGGCAAACTGGACCGCAGGGGCAACAAGGACAGACTAAAACTGATTCGAATTAGGTTTGTTTTTGTCCTCGGGGCCTCGAAAGGTAACAAACTGCTTCACGTCATACTTAAATGACTGAGTGCCTGACATCACTTCCAAAAGCATCTCCCGATCGATACTCCCCTTTGTATGCCCATCTGCGGTCATGTCTCTAGTGTCACACCACTGTACGTTATGCACTATACCTATATCCATGAGCTCACGTATCCAGCTGATATGTCCCAGCAAAGTACGTTCCGTCGGTATCTTAAGGTCTTTGCTGGATAGCGATTTGTATACAGACTCAGCGTCTATAGTAAATACTTTGATAGCTAAGCCTCCAACTTCACACATATCTCGTAGTTGTCGTGGAGTCAGTGCTCCGGCCTTGAGCTCGTGGAGAGTGATGAGCGTGGGACAACGCACATCAAGATTATGTGCAGCTGCAAGTGCCTCAGCGGCATAGCTGGACCTCACCTGCAGTCGGTGTGATTTGCATAGTCCGTCGCAGAGGTGAACTACGGATTTGCCTTGAGGCGTGTTTCCTCGCCGTAATACGTTAGCCCCACGAATACCGTAGCCCTTGGTTTCATCGTCCTCCTCCCCGGTGAGTTTCCGATACCCCGAATCACTGTGTATGTCTACTTCATTCGTCGGTTTCATCCGAGGGAAGGTGATGCGTTTCGGGCTGCTGATCAGCTTTCGCGTCACAGCATTCAGTCGTCTGACTTGCAAGT